TCAGTGCTGTTATATAAGAGCCAGCAGCACTGGGCAGAACAACCAAACACACTGGAAGTGCAGGACAGACTGGGTTTACTGCTCAAACAGTACACACACAGTATGTCTTCAAACACCGGGAACAGAAAGTGCCTGTGGCCACATATGCTGGATATAAACTTCAGCAGCATTCACAGGGTGCTCTGAAAGTACATCCACACTAGCTGACTAAATCTCAAAAGACACTTTCTCTCTCAGTTTTGGCTCCCTATCCGCACACCTTTTTGACATTGGAATCGGTGGGGGGAGGGGCTGCGTCTTTTTTTACCTTTTTGAAACCAAGCCTGCACATTTTATGCAGCTATTGGACAGGTTGCATTGTTAACCCCACACATTTATCGCCCATCTGTATTTCACCCCGCCCCCAAGCATGGCTGTTTAGTACAGCTATTAACACTTTTGCCGTATGCCAAATCGTACAAACTAGTTTGATCGAGCAAAACCGGACCTTTGGTGAGGATGGGAAACGACATAGTTGGGGCTGTGGAATCGAACCATCTCTGTGATCACTTATTCAAACAAACAATCCAGATGTTACTGACATTAAACTTTGTCTTTATGTTTTTGTCACGTTAATAATAAAATGATGACTTAACTGATGTACAGCAGAAGGAGTTACTATTTGCCTGGTTAGCAGGTAGCATTTATGTCCTATGATTAAATCCCTATTTTCTGACAACAGAAACGGAAAAATATGTAAATGAGAACAAGTAAATTGCGGGTATACTAAAACAACGGGTATATTAGGGTCGGTCATGGAAAGGAGAAGGATACTGAGGTTTAAACCAGCTGAAACACAGCAGAGTAACTGGGCAGCATCTGTTCACTACTTGTTGGCTGGGATGTACACAGTTTGAAGACCAAAGTAGGACAAAGAGTAGTATTTAAGCAGTTTTTCGATGTGTGGGATGAAGATCTTGACAAACAAAACCCAGTGTGAATGCACGTCTTTTTTACATGTTAACATTTTCAAAATTAGCCAAATTAAGTGTGGATATAGTCACACACTGTTCACTGATATTCCTGCTCCTCATGATTCCCTTCATGCAGGAGCATCAGGGCCTCTCCTTCCTCCTCCTCCTTCCCT